TGCCTCCCCTTCCCCAGCTGTGCATCCGTCACTGTGGTAGGGTCACGTCCCTGGAGAGGGAAGAGGGAAGGGGCACTCCAGGAGGGGGCGGAAACCTGCTTTCTACTTAGAAGTCCTGGAGCTAAATAGCAGGGGGGCTGGGATGGAAAGGAAGAATTGTTACAATCCATCACCCGCCCTTCCCCAAGCCCCGCCTCCTTAGGCCCGTGATCCTAGACAGCGTGATTTTTTTTAAAAGTCCAAACCTTTGCCCAGTTCTGGACACCAAGGCAGAGGTCCCCTGGCCTCATCTCCCTGTTGGTTGGGGGGCTTCCGAGGGCAAATAGGGCAGGAGCAGTGCCCTCAGCTGGCTGGAGGTGGGAGGTACAGAGGTCTCCTGGCTGCACCCCTGTGGATTATCCCACTCCCACAGGGAAGGTGTCCTGACTTTCTGAGATAAGCTGCCGAGGTCCCTCCTGGTCTGGCTGGGGAGGCGGGGCTGGTGGGGGGAGAGATGGCAGCAAAGGCTGGGCTACATGGGGTAGCCTAGCAAGTGGAGGGCCCCCAGGCGCTGCTACCAGAGGCCAGGCCCCGGAGGCCAGCAGCAGGGATGTGAAGGGGGGAAACCTGGCCAGTCCTGCCCTCCGCCACTTGGCAAAGCAAATGGCGTTCGCTCTTGTGTGCTCCCCTGTTTGGGATCTTACTCCCACCCCAAAGGATGCTGTTGGTGTTCCCATCAGCCCCGTTTCATCTGGATTCCAGGTGAGGACTGGGGAGGATGGTGGAAAGTGGCGGATGCTTTACCTGCCTCAGGCCTGCAAGCCTCCCACCCAGCCCTCAGCCCTGCTGTCTCCTTGGGTCTCCTGGATCGGTGGTCAGCCTGGGGGCTCCCTTCCCCATCCGGACATAGAACCTTTTTATGATTCTCCGCCAGGGGCCACAGCCACCGGCCCTGGGTGTAGAAGGTGCAGAACAGATGGGTTAGTTCGGGCCTTGGGGTCGGCCCGAGGAGGGTCTTTGACCCTGGGAATCGGGGTCCTTCCTAAGTTGGCTGGAGACCCTCGGTGGGGGGACAGCTAAGGTAGCTTCTGAGCGAGGTGGGAGGGAGGAGGGCAGAGGAAGATGCCAGTGCCCGCTGCTCAGGTGCCCGACTGGGCGGATGGAGAGCCCCAGACGGGCCGAGTGGGAACCGTTTGAGCATCAGCAGCCGCTCCCAGGAAGGCTTGCTGGTGGCACCTCTCCCTGCTTCCCGCCCAGGCTGCTGGGAAGAGAGCCCCTCAGGAAGGACCTCCAGGAAAGGGGGAGGGTGGGGTCGGGCCTGCCTGGTCTTCACCAGTTGGTTTCCCAGAAGGCATGCGCCCTGGGGGGTGGGGGTGGGGGAGGGATTGGAAGTGGGTAGGTTCCCAGGGAAGGCTTTTTCTGGGCTGAGAGCCTGGCTGTGTCCCCTCAGATGGCTGAGACCTGAAGTAGCTCCCCAGGGTCCCGTGAGGCTGTGAGGTATAAGGGGGTCAAAGGGCACGGGAATGCTCGTTGGTCCCGGGCTCTTTGTTCCCAACGCCCTCCCTTCCTTTGCTCCAGTGCTCGAAGGAGGGCCCCTTAGGGTTCCCCCGGCCCCCCAGGAGGAGGAAGTGTTTGTGCTGATGGTGACGTTTTCCAGGGCAGGCCAGAGGAAGGCGGGACAGGACTGGCGGGCAGCCAGACCCCCTTTGACAGAGATATGGTTACAGAGAATGACCTCTAGCCCAGGCGGTGAGCAGAGTGGCCGTCCGTCCGTCCGTCCGTCCGACAGCACCGACCCAGCCTGGCAAATGAGCCCCGCTGGGGTGGGGAGCGAGGGCGGGTAAGCGGTCCCCGTAGGAAGTGGGGAGGCCCCCGAGCCCCTGGGACCTAGTTTCTTTTAGTGACCTCCCCAGGCTATAGCTACATGCACTGCACCCGTTTGCTTGCCTCTCTGCGTCTATTACTTCTGTCAATGTCAGTGCTATTGATAGTGTAAACAGGAGTGGACCCCCCGCCCCCCACTTAGTGAACTAAAGCGAACCCTGTGTGTTGCTCCTGGATGAGAGGGAGGACCTGCCCACCACCAGGAGCCCCCTGAGGTCCCCCCGGGGGTGGGGACTCCCCTAGCTTTCACTCCTGCGCAGCCCCACGGTTGTATAGAGAGCCTTGTGCTTGGAAAGCCGCTGGCCACAAGGACTCTCATCTCTCCCCTTCCTTCTGCTGCCTTGGGGGGCAGTTGGGGACTTGGGGGAAGGTCTTGATTCTGCTTTCTAGTAAAGGGACACAGAGACTTTCTGGGTAGAATTGGGTTGTGGTTTGTGATGACTTTGCCTTTTTGTGTTTATATCCCATCCACGACCCTGGTTCTCCTTCCTTATCCTGCCTTCGTGCTCCTGCTCCTGTCACCCCCTCCCCCCACACCCGCCACCGGTGGAGTGGTGGTGAGAGGAAACAGTGGCACAAAAGAGAAATATCCCCCCTGCACATTGCCACCGCGTAGCTGAAGAGGCCTAAGTTAGAAACAAAGAAGAGCCACCGCTAGGTACTGTGTGAGGGAGAGCATGAGATGGAGGTCTCAGAGCAGAGTGGTGGGAGCAGGTGGTGGGAGAGGCGGGTGGGGCATCTGTCCTCACCGCGTTTGGGAAAGGGAGGGGTGCCTACCCTAGTTGCCCACCACTCTGCCCCCTCCCCCCCCCAAGGAAAATGTCCACTTTTCTTGCCTGCCGTGAGAGGTTACTGAGCAGGCTGGTACTCGCTGAAACACTTGGCAGGGCCCAGGCTACGGGCAGGGCAATGCTCTGGATCCCACAGGGACTGGAGAAATAAACCCCATCCTGACCCAACCTTCGCATTGCTTTTCAGTCCTGAAACAGCGCAGTGACCTCTGATCGCCATGTCTCCGTGTACATCTCTAGGCCTGTAGGTGAGGCAGACTTGGGGGTGCTTCTTCCAGGTGTGGGTACAAAAGAGGGGAGCCATTTCCCCAGTACACCCCCATCCTCCCACACGTCTTTCTTGTCTCTTTCACCCCATGCTCCAGCTCTTTCTGAAACTCAGTCATGAAAGAATGGCCAAGAGCGTTGACCTCCCGCAATAGAAATGCCTGCTACCGAGGGTCTTCCCTTCATACTCCCTGAACTCCCTCCTCATTGGACTTCCTGCTGGCTGGACAGCTCAGCATTTTGGCCCTGAATGCTGGGGGACTTCAGACAGGGTCGAGGACTGAGGCAGGCACAGCTTTCATGAGGTTAGAGGGGAGGGTGCAGACTTGGGAAGCTGTGTAACGGTCTGAAAATGTCTCCACCGGCTTCTGTAAAAAGCAACCACAGCAACAGACAAGCGTCCCCACCCTCCACCCCGCTAACTGACGTGTGCCGTGACCGACGTGTGTGTGACCGTGGTCTCAGTGTGTCGTGTGTGCACTGCTCCTGCCTTCCGGGGATGCTCCTTCTCCTGTGTGTCCCGTTCCCACCCTGTGGCTCCTGATGTGCAAAGTGCTGTGTGTTTCTGCCCGGCCTACGGGGTGCATCGAGTTCTCGGTGTTTCCGTCCTGGAGGGGAGGCCGTGTCGCATCTCCCACGGTCCTGAGAGGATGTGCAGGTTTGTGACTTCGCAGGGAGCTGCTTTATGTGAGTCTCCAGGAAGATCTCCAGGCTGGAAGCAGCCCATGTCTGGATTTGGACTCAGTGACCAGGACTCGCCCAGAGGCAGCGTCAATGACTTCATGCAGAGGGCTCCTGGAGGGGCAGCCCCAGAACCGGATCCCTCCCGCTCCCCCTGCCTTGGCCACTGACCCTGACCCTGACCTGGTTCTGGGAGTGAGGCCTGGAGAGGCCAAAACCTGGAGCCACCTTGAGGGAGGCACTGGGCAGCCTTTATCTGTCGAACCCTGGACATCCCAGCCCTCTGTGGAGCCCCTGCAGGCTCACAAAGACTAAATCACAGGCCCGCCCCGTCCTTGCTGTGGTTAGTATCTTGTTCTGTGGTTGGTTAGCAGTGTTGGTGACCTTGTAGTGAATCTTTTTTGTCTGCAATTTAGAGAATGTGTAAACAAATAAAAGGCTTTAAAACTCATGAACTTTTGGTTATTGCCCCACCCCCCACCGCCTGTCTTTATAAATCAATTACAAATGTATAGATCCTGTGGAAATAGAGCCTTTTCATGTTTGGGGGGTGCAGTGAGACTACATGTGTGAGTGCACATGTGTGTGCATGTGTGTGTGTGAGCACATGCATGCATGTGTGTCAGGCTCCAGAGAAACGCTGGTGCTTTTGTGTTTGTAAGAAGACTCCAGGAGCAACGTGTTCCAGGTCTCAGTTGCTCCTGGCGCTAGAATTCTGACCCTGACATCCACATCGAGCTCCTGGGAAGCCGCCGTCAGGGCAGTACCGGTACCGGGGGCAGGTCAGCCAAGAGCTTCCTCTGAGGACACCCCTCTGGGAAGAGGCAGGGCATTTGGAAGAGAACCCCTGCAACTTCTGGGGGAGGGGAGGCCAATGATTCAGAGGTGACTCACAGCTGAGGCAGGGGTCAGGGGTCGTGGTGGGGGAGAGACCTTAGCTCAGGACCCATCTAGAGGGTAGCTGAGTCATCGCTCCTTCCCTCAGCAGAAACCACCTCCATAAAAGGCAGGGAGATGGTGCCCTGGGAGAGGAGCGGAGGTCTTTGCAGAAGACACATCTGCCCTGAGAGTCCCCAGCCTGCTTAGCAACCACCGTAAAGGAACAGCCTCTGGGAGCAGGACTCCCCGGCCACGGCCACACAGGAATTGGTTGCCCAAGGCTGCAAGCTGGGAGCCAGTCTTCCAAACACAAGTTTCAGTTCAGCAAGTAAATAAAGCTTGTCCTCTATGCCAGGCACTGGGACTGCAGCGGAGGAGACAAGGCCCCGCCCTCAGGGGGCGCACAGGTCAGGCAGGTAACAGCACCCCATGAGGAGGGCTGGTCAGCGAGGGAATCTGGGGAGGTGGACGCAGCGCAGGGACTTCTGGGCGCCATCAGTCCGTGATTTCAGCTGGGATCTACCTGTGCCTCCCAGGAAGACATAGGTGGACATGGCCGCGGGGAAATACCAGGCCACGTCGGCCCCTCTTCCAGTAGGCGCTCCCCTGCTCCTCAGTAGCCTCTCCTTTGCGAAGCACAATGTAGGGTTGTTTCTACCAGAGGAGACACTGATGGTTGCTGCGGACACGGGCCGCAGAGGGAGTGAGGTCCCCACGCAGGGGCCTGAGCAGAAAGGCCAGCGGGGCGCCTGGCTGGCAATGCTGAGGGGCTCATTCCAGCAATGGGGGACTCAGGCTCCTGACAGAGTCCAGGCAGGAAGAGGCTGCAGCAACACCCACGCGCGCAGGCCTTTCCTCTGCATGGAGGGCGGTGACGTCTCTGCTTTGACCCCAGGGACCCCAGCGTTGCATCCCTGGCTCGGATGCTACGAGGGCCTTGGGGGAGGCAAGAGATGCACAAGGGAGGCTGGGCCTGGGAACGTTATCTGACACAGACCAGGAGCTGACATGCTCCCGGGGAGTCCCAGGGACAGGGGAGGGACCCAAATTATCTTCAGGCAAACTCAGAGCAGAACAGATTTCCTTTGTTTTTTTCCTTCGGGGGAGGAAAAGTGTGTGTGTGTGTGGGGCGGGGGGATAAGAGGAAGAGACCACTGGGATAACACTCATTAGAGTCTAGGACAGTGGTTCTCAACCTGTGGGTCGCGACCCCTTTGGGGGGTCGAACGACCCTTTCACAGGGGTCGCCTAAGACCATCGGAAAACACATATATAATTACATATTGTTTTTGTGATTAATCACTATGCTTTAATTGTAATTTTTAATTTGTAACAATGAAATTGGGGGTCACCACAACATGAGGAACTGTATTAAAGGGCCGCAGCATTAGGAAGGTTGAGAACCACTGGTCTAGGGGGTGGCGGTGGCAGACAGGACACTGGAGGGGAGTGAGAGGGCTGGGCCTTGTGTCACCCAGGTGGCTCATTGGGGACATGTTAGATACATGTTAGACATTTTAGCACGGGTTTCTATAAAGCCAGCCGGAGACGCAGGCAGGTTTGGGCAAGGAGCCCCCAGACCAGATGGATTTGCATGCAAACGCCCAGGGCTGTCCTTACGCTCCCCCACCTGCACCCAAGCTCACCTGTGTCAGAGGCCCTGGGGCATCTGAGAAAGCCCTTCTCCACCCAGCCCCTTGGAATGGATGGTTTAATACCAGATGCAATGAAGACAGACGGGTAGGTTGTTGGACAACACTGGTCTCCTGAGTAGATTCTGCAGAGGCCTAGGCTGATGGAGGCACTTTGGGGGGTGCCCAGAGGCCTGGGGGGACAAGGATGGAAGGAAGGTTCCTGAACCCCAACCTTCAACTCAGATCATTGATCAGAACAGCTCTGATTTTCTTTCATATAGTGCTGCTTCTACTGCTTAAGAAAGCACAGAACACAACAACTTTAAACCATGTTTGGGGCTACATGGTCCCGGAGGTTGTGGAAGGCAGTGTGATGATGCGAGGCCACCAGGGGCCCTGGGCCCTTGACCCTCCGCCAGGTACAGATGGACCTGGTTCCTGCTCTCAGGTTTCTCCAAAGGGGCCTGACACACACCCAGCTACCTCCCCCCTCCCCCCTCGGCCTCCGTTTTCTCTTAAGCAGAGGGGAGGAGCCTCCAGGTCTTGACCAGGAGGTTTCACTAGTTCCTCCTCCCTTGGGATCCCTGCAGCCTTTGGTGCTCACAGCCCTCCCTCCCCCACGCCCTCCGCCTACCAAGGTGCTCTGCTGTCGCCTCCATCACAGCCTCAGGCTGTGCTTTATCGGGACCAGAACAACAGTGTGCTCCCCAGGCTGGCGAGCTGAGAATGTTCCGGCTAAACTTTAGGTAATTAGCATTGTTAATGCTCAGTTCTGTACTATTACAGCTGTGAGCCTCATTAAAGTGTTCTCCAGGGGGAGGCAAGCGAGGTTCAGGTGTCAGCTCTGCTCCTCGCCAGCGCCCACCTGCCATTGCCAGGCCTCTGTGCTCAGAAGCCTGGTTCATTTCCACCCCTCCTCCCGCTCCCACTCCCTGTCTGCTGGCATCTGGGCAGGGACCTGCCTTTCCCAGCTGGGCCTCACTCCTTCCTGCCCCCTCTCTTCTCCCGCACAGAAGGAGCTGGGGCGGCTGGGGGGCTGCTCCCTCTCCCTCCCACTCAGAGAAACATGCCTACAGGAGGAAGGGGAATGGCTGCCAGACCTCGGCCCCAACTCCGCTGTGAAAGAAAGGGTTCTCACCTGGGTGGGGGACCTGAGCCTGCCCTCTGAGTACTGGGCTTTTTGTCCAGACTGTTCCTTCCTTTACTTCCCACCCCCGAAGTTCTGGTGCCCTCACCCACACCCCCCACCTCCTGGCTGGATTTCCCAGGCTCGACTGGCATCTGCTGCCTCGGCCCCTCATCGGAAAGAAACCTGAGTCCCTCTGGCTTTAATTTCTGGGATTCCTGATTCCTGGGAGGGGCGGCAGGGGACAGGCTATTTGCCAAACAGAGAAATACGAACCGCTCTTCAACCCCCTAGAAACCTGGAGGAAAATAATGCCAGTCCCTCTAGGGACTAAACACAGGCTCAACCCCAAACAGAGGGAAAACACAATTCCGGAGGCCTCTGGGGTTGGGGGGCGGGGGGGCTGAGGAGGGCCCAACAGGGGCCCAGACCCTTGGCCATCGCCCCTTCCACTCCCCTCTGTGTCAGAGGGCCATGGAAGCCCTTCCGGATGAGCACAACCGGACCCTCTGCTGTGGGCTGCCGACGGGAGGACACCAGGAGCTCAGGCTCAGCCTCAGAACCTCCCAAGGGAAGCAACGGCACCAGCAGGTACCCAGGCGACCTTAGTTCAGGATGGAGTGACGGTGTGTGGTCCCGGATGCAGGCGCGCAGGGGCACATGCTCAGAGGGGCACGGGAGCAGGGCCTTGAGGGATGTGTAGGACTCGGATGGCAGAGATTGGGGTCAGAGTGGGCTTTCCAACTGGAGAAAGCGATGTGAGCAAAGCCCCCCCTTTATTCCAGGGACACGGGGCTGGCCTGGGACGCGTGTCTTGGGCACTGGGACCTGGGCTGCATCCCGGATCTAGGGCAAACTCTTCCCCAGGGCCCTGGTTCCATCTTGACGTCACAGAGAGCCTTCTTCTGAAGCTGAGAGCGGGTGCAGAGGCCCTCGGAACCTTTAGCCCGTGAGAGGAGAGCTGGGGTCTCCCAGCAGCTCTCCTGCCACCTGGTTTGACATGTGGGATTAGGTCCTTGTAACCTTTACTCCGTCTCCCCTCCCTCTAAGCCAGTGGTTCTCAACCTGTGGGTCCCGACCCCTTTGGGGGTCGAACGACCCTTTCACAGGGGTCGCCTAAGACCATCCTGCATATCAGATATTTACATTACGATTCATAACAGTAGCAACATTACAGTTATGAAGTAGCAACGAAAATAATTTTATGGTTGGGGGGTCACAACATGAGGAACTGTATTTAAAGGGCCAGAAGGTTGAGAACCACTGCTGAGCTATTCTCAGCTCTTTAAACCTTAGTCTGGATCCTTTTCAGGTGGTTTCTTATGATCCTCATTTTCCACAACTACTCACAGCTTCTCCAACCCTCCACTGCCTTCAGCCAATGGGCTGGAGCGTGTCCTATCTAGAACGCCATGGTCCTCCATGCTCCCACATGCTGGCACCCACAGCCTCTCCACCCACAAGCACGCTGAAGCTTCAGCTCAGCCCTCTCTCCTCGGGGAGCCTTTTCCGACTTGGCCAGGGAGCACCCCTCCTACCACCAGGATGGTACATTCTTCTGTGACAGCACCTGGCACCCTGCCCGTCTGTCAGCGTTCTCGCTGGCCTTCCCATCAGACTGACCTGTTTGAGGGCACAGGTCACTGGAATCCCACTTGCCTTGGTGCATGTTCAATGGCTGGGTGGATGGAAGGGTATATGAGTGAGTGAGTGAACAACAAATCAGAGAGAATAAAGGGGGATGGGGTGGAGCACAGGCATTGGTCTTTGTCCCTCTGGGGCAAAGCCCTGGCGAAATCAGCAGCAGATCTC